ACCATTGTGACCGGTTAAGTTCGTGCCTGAAAGTCCTGCTTCAACAAGAAGAGCCTGCCACCCATCAATGCTGCATGAGTTCCGGTTGCAAGACATCTCACCGATCTCTAAAGAACATTACCGCAAGGCTGGACAAGGGGGGTTGTGGCTGGGAGGGCCTGGGCATTGGCGGCCTCTAAAGAGGTAGCGCTACACAAGTCTAAAGTTACACTTCTTCTTTCTCGCCTTTGTAGCCCAAGAAACTAGGGAGGGTCCCTTCTGAGATATTTGCCATATCCACATTCCTGCTGCGGGCTAAACTGCCTCTTATTGGACAGTGGCCCTGGTTGTGGCTCTTCCCTGTCTCCCAAGATCATTTGTACCTTCCATTAGAGGGGAGATTTCATATCTTTGTTAAATGTTAATATATATTGCTAGTCCATGTATTATATGCCGTATGCTAAATTAAATTAAATAAATAAATAAATAAATAAATATTCATATCTTTATTCAAGAGTGGTCTCATATTGTTACTGGTAACCCCATAGAGCAATGTTTATCAATCGCAACAACTTTAAAGTGTGGATTTCAACTCCCAGATTTTGCCAGGCAGCATGTTAATACCAATTCACATCACATAAAAAGGTATTTAAAGGCCAGTGTTCTGGCAGACAAGGACAATTCAAAGCGCCCTGACGATGTCTTCTCTTCGAATGGTGATGAAAGGTTTGTAACCAAATTACCAAGCTAGGGGCTCAAACCAACAACCTTAACCATCAACACGAGCTACTGATATTCAAACATATTTCAGCATGTTAATATTGCAGTGATATGATCAAGCGAATACATTGCTGAGCAATTAAAAGGCATTGTTTATCCACAGTATCAACAACTGTAATGGCAGGAGAATTATGTAGGCCATCTGTTAGCAAATCGTTAAAATCTTAGGTACTTTCTCTGACTGAGAAAGTCAGATTTGGATGCAGTTCATGAGATCCTTCAGAAAAAAATGAAGTACGAAGTTTAAAGAAAGAATATATGACTCAGTGTATGATACAGTGGAAGCAAATATAGTTTGCAACAATAAAATGCTATGGAAAGGTGTAGTGACTGAGATTAAAGTAAACTAGATTTAGTTTTTCTTTCCTTATTTCCTGATTTTAATTTACTTGGCTCGTTACTTCTCACTCCCCCTCCCCCCTCAAGTTGCTTAGCCTGAAAGGAAATAACATGATGGGTACATATGTATTATGTGTGTCTACAAGTAAAAGAATAGCAGTTAGGAACCAAATTTAGAATTATATAATCTCCTGAAGTTTGAAAGGAACCCTCCTTGTAAGCTCCTGTCATTTAGCCGCTGTCATTTATGAAAAATAATTCATCCTAATTCTTGGATTATGATATTTATCTATGCAGGGTTAGATAGACTATTATTAGACAGATTGCCTATCTAATACTCACCAGCGAAAGAAAAAAAATGTACAGTCTAAGCAAAATGGAGTGAATGTCTCAAACTACCGTTGTTTCGGATTGCTGTAATTACAATCAATAGTATCCATACTCATGGAACCAGCCATGCAGTCTTTAAATATGACACAGAACAATTATGGACTATTTACTGGTGAAAGGTGAAGAAAAATAATAATAAAATGTCTACTCAGATTAGTCACTCCTAGTGTAGGGCGAGGCGCACCTTCGGCTCTCCCTGAACTCTTTCTCGGGAGAGGCGGAAAGCGAGTCTTCCTGGATTCAAAGCCCGCCACCCAAAAACTCCGCGGGGACAACGCGGCCTCTGGAGGCAGGCGAAGGCCCCCCCAAAGCGGGCGCAGCAGCGAGCATTGGCGGGAGGAAGCCTACAGGCGCCCTCCGGCTCGGTTCTCCCTCCTCTCTACGAGACGCCGTTTCCAACAGTTTCTCGGGCGTCGGGAGGGCCACGCCCCGGGGAAGAAGGCAGAGCCCGGCGCTGCCCGGGGAGGCTCGCTCAGCGAGGAGCGCCTTTTCCCGAGCCTGAGCCAGGCATGGAACAGCCTTGACCGGGCTTCCCGCGACGCGTCCGGACAATGGGACGGGACAGGCCACCGGGGGCAGGTGAGTAGCTGGAGATTCTCCAGGCCGGCCTTTCGTCGCCCGCCATCCTCGACGGTCAAGGGAGTTTTCAGGCTTCCCGGCCGTCGGAGCGCGCCTTCTTGGGAAGCGTGAGCGCGGTGCCTCGCTAGCTGGGCACTGAAGGACCTGTTCAGGGATCCCTTCCTTTCCTCGCGCAGGTCGACAGGTGTCCCAGAAAAGAAGGCAAAAAGGGGGGGGGCGTCCCTTAGTTTCTTGGGTGCAGCTTCCCTCTCTCCTAGGACTCCGGCCGAGACCAAACTCTACTTTTCCGGACACGGCCAGGGGAATTGGCTTAAAGGAGTTGGGATGGACGGGAGAGTCGGCCCTATTGCAGCCTGGCTAGACGGGGGGGAAGTCCGGACGGGGAAGAGGTCCGCGCGGGCCTTTGGGCTTTAATCCCGCGGCAAGAGGACGTTTGCCAGGCCGCCGCTGGGAGATGCCTTCTGTTTATAATCTTGTATCCTGGGAGACAGAGCAGGCTCCGGTTATTTTGAGAAAGAAGAACGCCGCGTTTTTGCACCGCGTTTTTGCAAAGAAGCGGGAGCGATTGTTGTGCAGTGGTCCCGAGCGAAGAAAAGGCAATTGTAGGGCAGCTCGAGTTACTCTTCCGCCCGCTCCAGGGTATAGTAGCTGGGGTGGGATCCGTTTTCCCTCTTCCAGCCAACCGCTCACGGATCCCCAACCCCATTTTCTGCGGGGGGTGGGCTGGGGAGAAGGGGAAAAAAAAGGATTAAAAGCACCAAATGAAATGCAGCAGAGAAACCAAAATAAAATTAAAAAATGCTAAAGACCGGGCCGATTTTCAGAACGGTGCTGGAGTCTGGAAAGAAGAAATAAAGAGTCTCTCATCACTACAGCTTGGCTGAATGAAGTATTGTACTAAATTAAAAGGGTATCCCTTTCCAACTGCTGTCAATATTCTCTGCTGTTTCCCACAGTCTCTGACTTGCTATTCTCTCCGGACAGTTGCACTTCCGGTACTGCAGAGGGCAGCAGGTATCCGGCGGATCACTATTCAAAATGTGGGGTTATTTTATTTTATAGTTTGCAATGGAATGATTATAACCAGAACAGCACAAAGTTGAGTGAGGCTGCATTTGCTTTTCACAATACTGTGCTGAAATAATTGCATCCTCTGAGATACTTTTTTGAGTTTCAGTTTTCTTCCCAAATAAAAGATCTGGGTTGATGGCATGGAATCTACTATCAGACGAGTCCCCAATAAACAGAATGTGTATCCTGTGTACTGGGGGCCTGCAGCCTCTGTTTTTTTCTCCAAAGAGTTGCTAGCTAGTAAGGACATTCCTGTTGGCTCCAGACTGGACTCCAGCACTGGGAGTTTTTGGATTTCCCAGAAGAGCACTGAGAGACTAAAAGTTTCCTTATTCTTCCCTCCTCCTTGCCCACCTTCATGAATCATAGGAGAAAAGAAAGTGAATTCTGCAATTTGCTTGTGTATAGCTCACACGAGGAAAATTGTATTCCTGGTCAGTTGTCTCTTCCATCTCAGTGGCATTTGTAAGATAAGGAGCTAGCAGGTGCTTGTAGCTTTAAAGTTGGAGATAATGACCCCATTCACAAAACCTGTGCAATCTCTCAGGTGTAACCCTAACTTGCTTTTCAAAAGCACAGGATTTTTTGAGATAACGTAAGTGGTAGGGATCAAGGAGTTCAGTCATGATTCATTCACCTACTCCATGCAATAATGCATGACAAGAATATTCCGAGGACTTGTTTCTGTTTTGAAGCCAACCATTTCCTGCCCTTCTAGATAACATATTGAGGTAGCTTTTCTCTTTACAGCAAACTGACAGGTGGATCAATGATTCATTTGCTAATCTGAAAGCAGTTTGTGCTTCTTAGGATACATATATTTTTTCAAAAACCTTAGTATTAGGGGACAGGTTCTATTACGTTTGAGGTTCCCACTGTATACACAAAAACAGACTAGCTGTCAGTTGACTCTGTCATCAATAGTGAGGAGATAACGTCTTTCACTGCACCCAAGGACAGCAGGCCACCTTAAGGACACTGAGAAGAGCATGTAGCACAGACAAAACTATCCTTTAACAACTGTCACTGTCCCATCTATCACCTGCATGCTCTCTGCTCAAATAAATGTGCAATTGAAGCAAGAGACATCATCAAAAGCAAAAATAAATTTGCAATTGAAGCAATAGACACCATCAAAAGCAGCAAACAGTATAAGAGTGCCTCTCTGCCTGCTTGCTCAGTCAAGGACCTTTCTCAGTACGGTCAGTGATATGTTGGGAAGAGGCCAAGTGACACTAGCGATCCATTCCAGCAACAAGCAAAGACCACTAACATTAGAATAGTAGCTCAACAGGAACTGTTACCAATGCCGGTGCCTGCTTGCTGCATATAATGGTAGTGCTAACTATGAAAGAACTGTAAACAAAGATATCACAGGCTGCCTTGTGAATATCACTGATCAAATAGAATACCCAGGATCAGATGCTTCAAAAGAAATTGTGCAGCAAAAGCGTGTTTGTGGAATAAACTATCCATTTAAAGTCCAGGATTTTAACAATCAGCAGTGTTAGGTTATACCTTTTCCACAAAAGTCTTCCCATTAATTATTTTTGTCCGACTATCATAAATTGGTATAATACATTGGGTACTAAATTATATAATTTCACATCAGATTATTATCTGGTTGTTTTTTTCAATTGTAGGCAACTGGTGCCTATCAAAAGCTTGGGATTACAGTTTTGCATAACACCTTTTTATTTGGTCATGTTTATTTGTGTTAATGGATGTAATAGTCCAAAACATCTAGCATAAGCATATTTCAATCTCCATTAACATCAACACTGATGTGACTTAACCTTAAAAGTGTAATACAGTAGGTTTCTCCCTTTATGTTGTAAATTCTTCTGGAAACTAATACTTATTAATTCTTTCAGTTTGACTATTCATCCAAATGACTATTAATGATCTTAATATTCTATTTTAAGTGTCAAGGATGTTTGAGAACCAAGCCTGAGAAGGAAAAGCTGATGTCATTGGTCAGGAAGAGCTGGGGTGGGATTCTATTCTGGCTCAAGGCCTGCTAATTGTTCCTGCGGTATGTAGATTAAATCAGTGTCTCCAGCCCGGGGGCCACCATACCACAACTTCCGATTCAACACAATGGCAGAAGGAAAACATTACAAAATCATAGCAGTGATTGGATCTGCTTTAAACCTTATTGGAAATTATTGGGAGATACTAACATAAAGCCAATTAGCTCTTCCTGAATGTTGCAACTCAACTTTCCAGCAATTAATCTTACATAGGCCTGCAATATCTTTTGAAGCTTTGAAGCTTCTGTTTCATCGCTTCTCGGCCTTTTGGCTAAGATCAAGTGTAGTATCTTCTGTTTCATCTGCTAGTGCAGTCTGTATATAGTATACAGTATTTGAAAATGTTAAATGCTTTCATGTTTCTTCCTATTGTACTCTGTGTGTTCCTACCGGTAGATAAAATAATTTCTAAACTTCTAAAATAATTTATTCTAATATTGCAAAAACATAGTGATTAAAGGACTTAACTGTTCTTTATTAATTATGAGCATTTAAATGTATGTGTGCAGGAGTTTACTTCATGGGAAATATGTCTATAAATTTGCTTGCTTATCGTTCAGATAACATCTTAAGTCAAAGTCACAGAAATCATATTATGACTTTAATCTGTGAAACCAGCCACAGACTAAACCAACTACAACTTAATAATGATGTGATTATTTCCTAGCAACAAGAAAGAAGTGGTTGCTCTTTGTAAAGTAGCATTGTTCCTTTGGTATATAGTCATTATTTTCTGACATTAGACGAGGTTGCTGAAAAACTCTTCAACATGTGAGAGGTGAGAACAGAAAGCAGGGCCATTTTGCTGCCAAATGATCTGAAGTAGAAGTTGAATCTTCCTTCAACAAGTAGGATTTTTTTTTTTCAGTTGAGAGAGTGCGCTAATTTAAAGAGTTCAAGGCAGCCTGTGTCCTACAGTTCAACAAGACAGGAATGATCAGAGAATATAAGAGGAATCATTAGAATGACCTCTTGCTGGCTTGCTTTCATAGCAAATACAATATGAATCAGCTATTTTACTCTGCTCCAGCTATGGACAGCCCAAACTGGCAAAGTTCATATCTAAGCTATGATTTACCGAGTAAGCTATTTATCTACCTATTAGAGTTGCTCAGCAAGGGAGATGGACAGTCTCCAAATTTGATATATAAATGTAATAAAATAAATAAAAATAAATGCAACTGGATTGTACAATACATTCGATCATTCAATACATTCAGCATATGGTTTATATGACTTAGTGGCTACGTTAACTTGATGCTCTTAGTCAAAATAAAACAAACCATATTATACTGAGGATTTTTTGGAGCAAGTGGCATGCTGTAGTATGGAAATGCTTAATTGATACCAAATTTATACACTATCAGCATAAGGCATCCCCCAAGCAAAAGGCTTATGTTGCTACATCTTTTCTGGAATGAAAAAGGGGTGTGGTTTTTCTTCATAATAACATTGCTATATACAGCATCAACCAAAGATTAAGATTTCCCCTTCCCAGTTGGGGTTTCAGTCATGTAGCCAGGTCTATGTTTACTTACTCACTCTTTTTAAAGTATCTGTTTTCCTCCAAGCAAACAACTTTCCATTCATTAATACACAGCTCTCCTTCCATCTCCTTCAGAACTCAGTTACTTCACTTCTAAAGGAAAGGACCAGTCTTGTATCTATAGCAGGATAAGGAGTGGAGGAAGCACTCCACTAACATTAAAAATATATTTCTCAGGAGAAGGAAGAAAAAAATGCTGTGGACAGGGGAAGTGACTTGTGCTCGGCAGGCCATAAGTTCCTTGGATTCTCTGAGAGTTATCCTCTGGCATTACAGAACAAGATACTATGAGACACGGCCCATGATATTAGCAATCATATAAATAGACTAGCCTCATAGTGTTTGTTTTATGATGCTGCACCCCAAGTTGGTTAGTGCGGCTCCCTGAACCCTAAAAACTGCTAGCTTTTCCCAGAAAGTGACAAGCAACCATTTTAAAACATTATTTTATTTTGCATACATATTGTAGTACAAATTCTGGTTATAATGCAAACATTTTGTTGTCCTATTTTGTGGCTGCAGCATTTCTTTTTTAAAAAAAATATCTGATATCTGATACTTCCATTGTGATGAAAGCTGTTTTCAAAAGTTGGGGGACTTTCTTGTTCAGCTTGAGCAAAAAGTGATGGAATGGGGTGCAGTGGAATGGAAGAATCAGCCATGTTTGCCTCAGATGGATCCCAGTGTCTTCTTTGAATGGAAGGAGACTTTCCATGATCAGTACAGTTAGTTTCGATATAACCTATTATTAGTGAAGTAAATTATTGCAATTCAATTTAGAATAATTGCATTTGGCTGATCATTGTTTATTGAATCAGTGAGTTAACCGCAAAAAGTGTTGATTTCTAATTGCAATTCATAATGCAAATGCAATGTCTAATACTTGCCATCTTTTTTATTTAGATCAGAAGAAATGGACAGTTATATTTTTTGGTGGGATGCTATTAGCAACCAAATTTACATTTGGAGCAATGGAAAAGACCTGCAACTGCAGCACAGATATCAGTTTCCAGAAATTTAGGACTAAATTAGCTCCTGAGATATGTTGTTTGAATTTCACGAGGACTACAATCGATACTTTGGATTGGAGCATCTTTTCTGGAACTGTAGGGTTGAAAGAGCTGTATCTATCAAACTGTGGTATATCACATATTAAGAATGTAAGTGTTGATTCTTTTAGCCTGGAAATTCTGTACTTGGACCATAACAAATTAAATTGGCTTCCTGATAATTTCCTGAGACATGCACCTAGACTACGTGTTATTCACTTGGAGAACAATCAACTCCAGAATTTATCTGAGTCATTTCTGGAAACATCTAACCAAATTCAGGAGATCTACCTTGATTTCAATAACTTATCTTCCCTTCCTTCTGGGATTTTCAAACCTTCCCTCCTCACACTTGGTCTCTCTCACAACAGTTGGGATTGCACTTGCAACTTTCTTGAACATCTAGGAAAATATATCCTTAGTTCATTTGACATTGTTTGTCACACCCCAGAACATTACCATGGCATAAATATCAAAAACATTTCCAAGGCAGAATTGTGCCAGACTCATAGACTCACAGCTCTGTTTATTTGCTTACCTCTGGTTGCTGTTCTTGTCTTGGTCACCTGCTACTTCTGCAAGCGCAAAAAGAAGACAAAGAGAAAGACGGGCTATGCTCTTCATGATAGAAAAGAATGCCAGTTGGCTACAGTGGAGAACAATGGAACCAATAGATCAGATGATCGTCAGTGCTCTATTCCACCTATTATGCTTGCTCATGGTGCTGCAGAGAGTGAAAACAACTTGTTGAGAAATCAAATTTTGCTTAAACCTTCAACTGCACTATTAGAAAGCAGCAGAGATCTTTCTGAGGAAGTGGAGATTAAACTGGGGGTTTCTGATGATTCCTTGACATGTAGAAATCTCGACCAAGAAAAGTTGGGAACAACAAAACCAGTCATGGAAGAGGAAGAGACTATAGATGAAGCAGAGACATTGAGTGTAACAGATGTTTTGAGAGATTCAGCAGACCGTGAGAAGCTCTACATGAACCAATCAGTAGATTATTACAACCTTGTCCCCGGGATTGAGTTGGAAGACTCAGACCACATGGAGAATGAGAATGTTAATCTTTGCTGAGGCTGCTTGTCGGAAGAATAGGATTTTATTGTCCATTAAATTGAACTGTTGATATGGAGGATCAACTTAAATAAAAAAATGGGACCATATCATGGCTTTTTCTATTTTGCAGGATCAGACAGCTTTGAAAGGCAACATCCACTGTAATTAAACATAGAAAAAAAGCAATCTTAGAGGAGTTTGAATAGTGGGACTAAGTGGGCTGTCTAACTGAAGTTCCTTTCCAGCCCAGTAGTACTATGCATTTTAACTATGCACTTCATGGTTTTCAAAGTTAATACTTCTCATAATTAGACATTTCTTGAGAGGAAAGGCTCAAAATAAAAACCTTTCAAAACCTGAGGCTTTCCACCCCCATATGAATAAGAAAGGGGACAAAATGCTTTTATTCCATTGTCATCTGGGACAAAATGCTTTTATTCCATTTTAAAAACAACTTCCCATTTCTCAATTCACAGCTCTCCCATATTTTTATAATATTATTTATATAATATATTATTTATGTTATATAAAATCCTGCATTATTTTCTACATGGCTTTTCCTTCATGGCTTTTTCCAAGCCTACCTCCTGAATTCTGACATTCTGTATTCTGGCATTTATTCTTGTATTTGAGCAAGTCTCTCCAATCAACCTCGCCACATGTTTAGCTACGCCAGTCCTGGATTGTCTCCAGTTTTTTTATCACTCCTATTTCCAATTCCTGTCAGGTGGAGACTCTGCCTCCTAGTGGAAAGGATTGCATAAACCCATTCTCTTAAAAGGATTATTTTGGCTGTTAAAATATTTCAAACACTTAACAAATCCTCATTTAATTAACACATTTTCTAACCTATCCAGTAATAGCAATAATTTCCTTTCATTTGTTTTGTTTTAACGGTGTCTGGATACATATAGCCTGGCCTGTGCGAATTTCTGAAACAGCCTTCTTTTGGTCACCTTTCATGATCCACTAGTTGAGTATTGGAGAGATTTCCATAAGTTAAGTGAAGGCTAATGGAACAAAAAATAGGTTGTTGGTACAAATCACATGTGAAAGTTCAAATATGTGCTTGCATGTGCACGTATATGGACACCCCTTATTTGTGGGGCCTTGGGGCTCTCTGAGCTTGGCTGTTTTTTTGCAGACACATCATTACCAAACTAGGGTAACATCATCAGTGTTTTATATACTGTATTTCCCTGAAAATAAAACCAGGTCTTATATTAATTTTTGCTCCAAAAGACGCATTCAGGTTTATTTTCTGGGAAATACGGTAATAAATGCATTTGTCTGGCTGACGCTCTTAACTCGGGCTTATTTTGAGGGTAGGGCCTATGAGCATCCTGAAAAATCATGCTAGGGCTTATTTTCCAGTTAGGTCTTATTTTCGGGAAAACAGGGTACTAGTGGCTTGCTGTGTAAGTGTTGATGGGAGTGGTCTTGGTGGTTTCTTTTTTTTAAACAAGTTTTATTAATTTTCCATTTTTACAAACCTTCGGGTATTTAAGGAAGCAACATGGTGGTTGGGTAATACATAGTCCAATAACACGCTTATCCATACATATATCAGTTTATACCATCAAAAATTTCCTCTCTGTTTCCCTTAGTCATTATACCAAATTCAAATTAGTAGGTTGCTAGTTATAACTCAATCATTTAACACATTTATGAACAACTTTTAGATTATATATCTCCAAATCCATTAGGTCTTATTTTCGGGGAAACCGGGTACTAGTGGCTTGCTGTGTTAAGTGTTGATGGGAGTGGTCTTGGTGGTTTCTTGATTGGGCAGGTGTTCAATGTTAGTTAGTTTGTCTGAGTTGGTAGTTCCTTGATTCTACCACCAGTGGTGAGATTCAGCTGGTTCGCACCACTTCGGCAGAACTGGTAGCTAATTTTTTGTTGCCCAGGCCCAGAATGGACTTCCGGAAGCGGCATCCACACAGAGAACCGATTGTTCACATATTTGAATCCCACCACTGGCTACCACCCTTTATTTCTTGTTTCATACAGCCTCTCTGAGGGATGCCTGGGATTGTGCTGCCCCTCTATTTATCCCTTTAATACAGCAGCCCAGTCAGGATCTAAATAACTTTCTGCTCCTTGATCCCTAAGTGATTGTAACCCTAATCACTTATCTTTTCTTCATCTCCTCTTCCTTCATTCCTTCTTTCTTCAGCTTCTATTTCAGACCCTATTTGTTTATTTTGGATTTCCTGTCTCTTGGCTTTCATGGTTTCAGGTCTCTTTCCTCTTCTCCTATTTCTAAGACATTTTGTCAGGACCACAAGATTACGTTCCAGTTAAGAAAATTTATTGCTCGGAGTTAAAGCGTGTTATGGACTTGGTTACTTAAATAGTTGGTTAATGTTAGTTAGATTATGATTATTATATTTGTAACCCTGTGTTCAGCTTTGGGAAGTGGGGGAGGGGGAGGAGGGGTTTGGGGGGGTATGGGGGTTTATATTGTAATTTTTATAAAACTTTTAATAAAAGAAAATTGATTGCTCATAACTCTACACAAGAATCTAGTCAAATAACAGTCTGCACTAAATTGGCACTAGATAAGGGTCAATGGAATTCAAAGGGGGCTGGACTTGGATCATTTTGGGGAATGAAATGACTCCAGTATGATTCCTCTCTTGACTCCTCCTCCAGGCTCCACATCTTCTCCTCCTATATTTTTGATTATGATGATGATCATGATGTTATCTGTTCAGTCCTGTTCGATTCTTGGTGATTCTGTGGGCCAGGTCTCTCTTACACCTTCCGATCTTGCACTAGTTTGTTTAGTTTTTCTATGCTCTTGTTGGTATCAGCTTTGATCTCTATAACCTATATCTTTAATATACCCTATATCTTTAGTCCCAGCAAAGGGGCAACTTTTCACTCCCTATAGGTGTGAAACCTCTATTTATCTAGCAGTTGGAATATTTGTGACATACCATCTGAATCATTTAGTATTATGTACTTTACTGCTATTAGCACATTAAAATGTAAACCTTATCATAGTTAATTATGTTCAAAACTATATTATGTAAGAGTCACATTTATACAAACACTGTTGTTTATTACTACATTTTCACAGCTAAACAAATGTTAAGAACTGGTTCAATCAAACCATTTACAATTCAAATTTAGGGAAATTAAGAAGAATGCTATTTTTATAATTTTCTCAGTGCATTCAATATTCAGAAAATCAGGCACACACTCTCACAGCAGTATGTTAGACTAATGGTCCAAAAATAAAGCAAATATAATTTTTTAAATCTAAACTGTAAGAAATAATTTGATACTGACATGGCTTACTGTAAAGATGGGGGATATGTGTATGTGGGTGATGTATGTAGAATTGTATGTGTGTATACCTTTTGTACTAAATTGTTTTATCTATGTTGTGGTATCCTGTCTCAAAAACAATAAAATAATATTGCTAAAAAGGAAAAGCTAATTTAATACCAGATTAAATATATTATTATGGAATAAATGTTTTAAAAACTAAAGAAACTGCAATAGTACTTGTTTTTTTCCCTATTAAATACTGAAGGATTTTTTTTAAAATACCTGATTTATAAAAAAAAACATTTATGCAAATTGATGACTTCAAAGCATGAACGTTTTAATGCCTTGTTATTTAAACCATTTAAGCCACACACAGTCTACAGTCTCATATTTATTATTCTCTGGAATCTCATACATGTTCCTTGATCAGTTAGTCCTGTTTTTATTATCCCCCTAGAATGTGGACATATAAAACTGGACATTTGTCCTTGTTAGCTCAGGATTGACAGAGTGCAGCAAGCGGGAAGTTCTAATGCCAAGTCAAGAAAATATATTGATCTGTACACTCTGATGCTGATGTTCCTTTCATTTACTCGTGTTAAGTCGCTGTAACTAATTGCATGAAAAAGGCATTGGTCATCTTACCATTATTAAGAGGAATGAGCTTCCATATTCAACTCAGAAGTACATCTATATGTTACAATTTCATTTCTTCCCTTATTTAATCAGAAGTTTTCTCAGTGGAGGAGCAGAAAGTATTACAGCTGTACTCATGAACTGATTTTTATTTTTATTTTTTTAACATAGAGAATTACAGTAATAGGGAATAGCATCATACTTAAAGATGCAAGCAAGGCCGGACATTCAAAGGTGTTCATACTTTTCTTATGCACTAGTTCAGGGGTAGGCAACCTTGGCTCTTTTATGACTCGTGGACTTCAACTCCCAGAATTCCTGAGCCAGCTGTGCTGGCTCAGGAATTCTGGGAGTTGAAGTCCACGAGTCATAAAAGAGCCAAGGTTGCCTACCCCTGCACTAGTTTATAAATCTTATTACACGAATAATTGGTTTGGAAATCTAGCTTCACTTTTGCAGCGTTCCATAGAACTCAACGCTCTTCCCATTCCTATTTAACATATACATGAAAACTTTGGGCAAGATCATCTGTCAGCATGGAGTCAAAAATCAGTACCTTTATGATACTTCGTTATACTCCAGAGCCCTGCCCTGGGCTCATTGATTCTGAATGAGATAACGGACTTCCAGGCAGAGTTGGTGCGCAATTTGAGGATACTCCTGCATTTTCAGCTCCCGCTTGAGAAACAGATGGCAGCCATTGCCAGGACAAACTTGGCACAATTGCGTCTTGTGTGCCAGTTGTGCTTGTTCATAGATTGGGAAGCATTACTCATAGTCACTCGTGCCTTTGTTATCTCCAATTTGGATTACTGTAATAGGCTTTACATGAGATTGTCCCTGAAGAGCATTCAGAAGCTGCAGCTGGTCCAAAATGCAGTGGCACAGATAGTATTGGCTGCTCCACAGTATACCTATGTTATACTGCACTCTGATGGCTCCTAATAGACTTCCAGGTGCAGTTCAAGGTGTTCGTTGTCACATTTAAAACCCTACGTGGCATGGGAACAAGTTACTTTATGAGACCTCTGTTCCGCAGTGGTTTCTGCCCATCCCACCAGATCTGGCAGAGTAGGCACAATCCTGGCTCCTTCAGTGAAGCAGCATCACTTGCTTCTTCCCCCAAGATACAGACAGTCAAATATCTGATCCTGCTGACCTGGATT